CCACTGGTGGTGGCTGTACCCCCTGCCCCTTCCACTAGTAGCTGGCTGTATCCCCCTCCCCCCCTCCATTTCCAAAACCCAACACAGCATCATAACAGCGGAGTGTTGTGGGGGGAGACGTATGGTAGAGAAGAGGAATTGAGAGTGGAGGGAGAGATAATGGGAGGGGCTGAACCGAGGGAATTAGGAGGGGAGAGGGATTAAAGTGGGGTGGGCAGAGGGGTGACGAAATGGAGGAGGAGGAGGAGAAGGGAGAGGAGAAGGGAGAGGAGAAGAAGACAGCAGGGAGGGGAAGCAGAGGTCGAGCGACCACCCAACTTTAAAATAAGTTAGTGTACCCTTGATGTGGCGGGACGTGGTCTGTGTTGTGGGAGGGATGGAGTTCTAGTGTGTACACATCTGACACGTCTTAGTCAGGTGTGTCGGTGTCAGGTGTGACTCATATAGTGGGACTCCTTACTTTTGTGACACATGTATCTCGCGTTAGCTCGTTTATCTGGCGTAACGTCGACTGGCTGGTGGCACTGGTGGCATTAGTCTAGGGAGTGCTGGTGGCACTGATGTAAGACCTGCTGGTGGCGCTCGTCTAAGACCTGCTGGTGGCACTGGTCTAAGACCTGCTGGTGGCACTGATCTAAGACCTGCTGGTGGCGCTGGTCTAAGATCTGCTGGTGGCACTGGTCTAGGGCGAGTCTCTTGTTTACTAATGACCAATAAAACCAGCTTCTCAAGACGCTGCCAGACACCTGGGCGACGCTGCGGGTGTTGGAAGGTGACTACTCTCTCTATTTGTGACCCCACAGCAGGTGGGGGTCCTGACCTCGCACGTGATTGGTCGTCGGAAACTCATTTACAATTTGATTGGTTTCTTGGGGGAGTAATATGAGAAGGTGATTGGGTCATTGGAGTGTAATCACCTGTCTTTGATAGGATCACAAATAATGAGTGTATATGTAACTATTTGGCCAGGGTAGGAGTGAGAGACTTAGGGAAGGGAGTGATTGATTAATCTGAGATGTGACTGACTTAGTCAAGATGTGCTTGACTGGTCTAGGGTGTGACTTAGTCAAGATGTGCTTGACTGGTCTAGGGTGTGACTGACTTAGCCAAGATGTGCTTGACTGGTCTAGGGTGTGACTGACTTAGTCAAGATGTGCTTGACTGGTCTAGGGTGTGACTGACTTAGTCAAGATGTGCTTGACTGGTCTAGGGTGTGACTTAGTCAAGATGTGCTTGACTGGTCTAGGGTGTGACTGACTTAGCCAAGATGTGCTTGACTGGTCTAGGGTGTGACTGACTTAGTCAAGATGTGCTTAACTGGTCTAGGGTGTGACTGACTTAGCCAAGATGTGCTTGACTGGTCTAGGGTGTGACTGACTTAGTCAAGATGTGCTTGACTGGTCTAGGGTGTGACTGACTTAGTCAAAATGTGCTTGAATGGTAGAGGACGTGAATGAGTTAGCCAAGCCTGTGAGGATGCAATTAGTTGCCGAGATGTAGATCACTAGTAACAATGGCTGCATGATTTACAGAGATGCAGTGTAAAGCACTTGTGGGGTTCTGAACATAAGTAATGCTAACAAATACAAAATATCAAGTGAGCAACATTGAAGTGACTGAATTTGATTACGAAAAATGTGTCTCAAACAATCACGACTCCCAATGATTGCGATTCATTATTAATTAATATACATCTTGACTAAAGACATAAATTCATAAATGCTGGAAATAATGTGAGTGACACCGGGATGGATATCTGGATGAGCTTGTAATGGTATAACAATGTTATCCATCATCCTGATCTGGCTCTCATTAACCCCATTGATATGATGTAGTTTAATGAGTGACTAGATGCTATGGAATGGACTTTAATGGCCTTGAGAGTGTGTAGAGAAGGATGATAACGGTAATCCCAGGCATTATCACCTTCCCTTACGAAGAGAGATTAAAGGAGCTTAGTTTACCCTCTCTGAAGGAAAAGAATAAAGGGGGAGAGTAAGTGAAGTATACAGATGGTTGTGTGGATAAGTGAAGGGTATAGCGGCAAGGTGTGAAATATATCAATACGAAACAATAGATACGAATTGGGTAAGTTTAGATTCAGAAAATAGATAAACATTAGGTTAGCTCCTTTGGCTTTACACTTTACAGTGTTTAAGCTTCAGTTCTTGGACGCCGACTCTAATCTTCGGTTGACTTACAGTACATTGTTGAAATTGAATACACATAGATTTTGATTCCGGGTAGAGATAATCTGAAGGATCATCCCAGGTCTTTCTCATTACCCGAACGATGAGACAGTTATTTCTCACGATTGTCTGGCTCATTCACCCCGCCCCCCCCCCCTGGTTCTGGGGCCTCCCAGTACCCCCACTCTGGTAGTCGTGTCCACTCTGTCTACACTCAGGAGTACTTGGTAGGTCGCGATTGCAGCGGAAAGGGAGGAGAAGAGGGGAAGGGAAGGGAAGCGAAGAGGGGCGATGTGGGGAGAGGGGAAAAAAGAGGGGAGGAATGGGGGTTAGGGGAAGAAGGGAAGGAAACTATCAGGAGAAAGCGCCAAGTGATTACTACCATAGAGCACTTGGAAGGGTTCAGGATAAGGATTGGGAATGGGGCGGGGGGGGGGGAAGGGGGATGGGACGGGGGGAAGGGGGATGGGAGGAGGGGAGAGACGGACTACCCCGGACACCGCCGGTTGTATTAGTATTGTATTTGTGAACATTAGTATGAACACCGTAGGATTGTTTAGGGGTAATGAGACCGCCGCTGAACTACCACGTAACCGCTCTACCTGACCCAGGCTGTGGGGGTAGAAGGAACAAGTGAGGAGTCTCTCACCTTCTCACTCTTACTGGTGAGAAGGTGAGAGACTCCGGTTAAACGTTGTGTAAAGGGTTTCTAAGAGGTACAGAGAGACTCCCGTATTCCACATGATATAAGTTATATTAAAATGCCCCAGCGACAAATAATATAGTGAGGTGGGGGGGGGGGGAGTGTGTGCATCCCGGTGTAAATGTACACTTTAGAGTGCTGGGGAGCGAGTGTCCGGCCCACAGGAGACGAAGAGGGCAAACTCCTCCATTAGAGGGAAGTAGGAACCATCCCTGAAGGGAATCACAGCAGCAAAGTAAGGGGTCCAGAGGGCTGGTTAGCTCGAGGGTCTCACATGGGGAGGGGTGAGGATAGGGGGTAGGAGGATAGGGGGGTCGGGAAACTTACTGGATAGATAGGAAGGTCTACAGAGTCCTGCAGAAGTAGATGGAGGGGGGATATGTCTAGATTTTGGAGCCCGCGGTCCTAGGGTCTGCAGTCCAAGTGAATGTATTTTGTTTGGTCTATTAAGCCACAGATTAGATCAGGATGTTATGTACATTGAGAGGTGTACCCTATTTCCCGGTGTATATAAACTGAGTTTACTTCAGCCGTGAACACAGTCCAGGACTAAGGTGTACTTGTTGACTGGTGAGTAAGCCAGTGTGGTAAGCTAACTATCCCTCCAGAGGCTGACACACCACAAGCCCAACACCAAACAGATTGGAGACGGGATCCGCAGTCTAGCGGAGCCGATCAGTTATGTTAAGGGAATTACATTAGCCTCGGGGGATCACGTTACAAGCAGAATGAGTAGTTATGAAACTGTGGGCCACGTGAGTGAGATCCTGTGAGGGCTATTAATACCGGGGCGGTATGAGGGATCTATCTGTTAGTAATCAGTGCTGGGGTGGTATTGGGCACCTACTGGCACCATCAGTGCCAGAGGGTTATACGTTGTTTTCACTGGACGAGAGAATGAGGACTGTTGTTAGTTGTGGTGTTTGGCCAACAAGGTTTTGGGCTCAGTGTACTAGTGTACACCTGCCTGGGGCAGGTGTATGTTGTTTTAGATTCAGCAACTCGGAGCAAAAAGTTCCAAGTAGCACGGGCTATGGTGAGCCCGCAGTGGACGTATCTGGCACAGGAGCGGGGCTGCGTGTGGTGTGGCGCACGTGTGGTGTGGTGGCAGTGTGGTGTACGGGGCACCACACGTGACGGCGTGGGAGATGGGACTCCCACCCCGTCATAGTCACTTTCCTCCATATTATTTCTTGCACATCTCGTTCCAGTTGGTGTAAATATAATGTAAATCAGACCACGTTGAGTGGCAAGCACCTCCCCTAATGTACCCTAGGGTTAACTATACAAGAAACGTGTATATAATATTAATTATATTTGAGAAAACATTGTTTTTTAATTAGGTTAGAAATAGTCCATTGTGGACGCTTGGTTGTAAGAAACTGTCGATTTGTACTTTAAATATGTAAATAGTTAACATGAATTTAGGGGGTTCAGTTCCTGAGCCCATTATGTGCCTCTATGATCTTTTCCACCGCCGCTCACAGGATGGGTATGGGGTGCATAATAAGTGAACTAAACACACACACACACACACACACACACACACACACACACACACACACACACACACACACACACACACACACACACACACACACAAAGAGCCAAAGCTCAACCCCCGCAAGCACAATTAGGTGAGTACACACACACACACACACACACACAAAGAGCCAAAGCTCAACCCCCGCAAGCACAATTAGGTGAGTACACACACACACGCACACACACACACACACACACACACACACACACACACACACACACACACACACACACACACACACACACACACACACACACACACACACACACAAAACGCAAATTGGAGGTGCATATCCTATGTAGCCACCTGTTTCACGAAGCTATTAGACTATTGATAGGATTGGTGATTCACATCAGACGTTACAATGTCTAAGACTGCATCCAAGTACCAAGGATAACAAGTACCTTTATCTAAATGTACTAAGACTGCATCCAGTCTTGCTTGTGACTTGGTATCTGCAGTCTTGGTTGTGAGACACAGTATCCGCAGCTTCAACATATCTCTTGAGTATGTCAGCGCACTTGTCAAGGTATATGTTTAGCCAGTCGAGGCGAAGACTCACCTGATGGCGCATATGTAGTGGAGCTTGGCGAGGTCGGCGTTACCCAGGTCCTTCTGCAGGTTGGCGAAGTTGTAGTGCATCTTGGCGTTGTGGGGCAGCGTCCTCAGGCCCGCCCTGAGCCGTCAGAGAGAGAGACGCGTTAGAAACATAAGGGAAGACGAGGACCAAGTGAGAACATTGTGATTATGAGCTGATAATCAAGACAGGAAGGAAGAGAGAGAGAGAGAGAGTGAGGAGAGAGAGAGAGAGAGAGAGAGAGAGAGAGAGAGAGAGAGAGAGAGAGAGAGAGAGAGAGAGAGAGAGTGGGAGAGAATGGAGGCAAGATATAGAGGGACGGAAAGAGGGGAAGAAAGAAGAGGGGAAATAGGTGTAGAGAGAGAGAGAGAGAGAGGGAAAGAAGAGGGAGAAAAAAGGACAGGGGGGGGGGGGCTATAGGGGAAGAGAAGTTAGAAAGAGGAAGAGGCAAGTCAGCTATGTGAAATTACATATTATTATAAATTACAGTAATTATTTAAAGAACAAATAAGATCGAAATCTAATTATATAAAATGGATATAAATAATATATTGAACTGTGTGTAGAAAGATTATAGTGAATGTGTGATCAGAGAAATCATAACTTTGGAAGGGATTTCTAAATTTCCAACTTAAATTCAAGAGAACATAGACTCTGTGAGGGGATTGTGAGCTCTGAAGATGAGCTCTGAAGGTGAGCTCTGATTGTGAGCTCTGATGGTGAGCTCTGAAGATGAGCTCTGATTGTGAGCTCTGATGGTGAGCTCTGAAGATGAGCTCTGATTGTGAGCTCTGATGGTGAGCTCTGAAGGTGAGTTCTGATTGTATAGTTAACCAAGAACTTCTCTTATTATCAGGTACCCACACCATAGATAGTAACTATTAACAAACCAATCCTAGTTAACTCCAGTCGTTAACAAGTCCACCATTCCAAGTCAGAGTTGTAACCAAGAAGGTCGTTAGTGTGATCATTACAGATCACATACATCCCACAACAGTTAGCTTGTCTGTCACCGCTCTGGCCATCTCTCAAGAGTGTATTCATGAACATGTCTTGCCAGAGATAGCTGTGTCCAGTCACCACTATGACATATTCACCCGTTTAAGACGGCCGATGATCAAGGATACATGCGGAAGAATGTATTTCAAGATGGACGTACATGCTTACAAATGAGCCATAGAGGCATTAGAAAGATCTTTTTTTAGCGTCAGAATAGGTAACAGGTGGTGGAGGCTGACTCTATACACATTTTCAAATATAGATATGATAGACCCCAGTAGGGTCAAGAAACTGTACATCAGTTGATTGCCAGTTGAGGGGCGGGACCAAAGAGCCAGAGCTTAACCTCCTCAAGCACAACTAGGTGAATACAGACACCGGCATTCCGTAAAAAATGCAACCGTTTAACCTACCCAGAAACGTGTAATCCTCAATAAGTTAGCTTGGAATGCCTGGGATTCCCACCTAACCAACCACAATCCCTTCTTGGGGTAATCCTAAATCCTTCCCAATCACTAGCAAGACTTACAAGAAGAGCGTCTCCCTGGATTCCCAGTCCCGATTCCTCTGTAGCGTCCTGCAGGAGGCGGCGACGAGGAGCAGCAGGAGGCAGGGCGCCCTCAGCCGTCCCGCCCGCGAGAGGGCCACGCCCACCAGCACCGCGTAGCCCAGGCTGGAGATACAAGGACGCAAATTAATTACTCAGGGAGCGAGGGTACGTGTCCTAGTTGTTATTGGTGAGAGGGGGAAGGTGGGAGAAGTTGTTAGTGTGGGGGTCGTGGGGGGGGGATTCAGCCCCCCCCCTCCCCCCCTCATTAGGCGAGTGGGGGGGAGGGGGTGAACTGGGACCTCGTTGGACGTGGGTCGCGGTTTTCACTTCCTTACTCACCAATTACTTTATGTGAATTACAGTCAGACAAATAATATTAAACCAGTACAGATGGTTCTGTAATTTTGCAATTTGTCAACCTTGTTCTCTCACTTTTTTCCCCTCACTTACCTCACAGAGGTTCTCTGGTCTTGTTTGCTGCCCGTCTCCCCCACCACAAACTTATTTACAACCACCTCGTCAATTTACGCTCTCGGTAACTTACAATGCCCTTTCGAATTCACCTGTCATTTACAGCCCCGAGTTTAGTTAGCTCCGCTTCCCAATGTCATTTACAATACTCGTCAGCTGCATCCTCACCTCCCGTGCAGTGATTTACATTTCCCGATGATTTACCTATTTGTTAAATTCATTTACAGCCCCGCGCCTCGGGTTTGATTTACAACATCGCCCAACTAATGCTCTCGTAATGCTCAACTCCTTCCGATTGGGTTATTCTCACCCAAATGACTAATCATTTACATTTCCGCCAACTTGGCTACTTCTTGCCCCTACCCTGTATCCCCATTGATTATCCCCGCCAACTTAGCCAACCTCCTTTCGTATGCCAATTTAGCCAAGTTCCATTTCTCCCCCAAACTTAGCCAAGTCCCCCCCCTTGGCTAAGGGGACAAGAAGCGTATATTCCGCTTATATAGGTCACCCTACGCCAACCACTGACTCGCCCAGGATGCAAGCCACAACAGTGTTCTGACTCCCGGGTTGCTATTTACTGCTAGGTGAACAGAGATATCAGGCGAAATGAAACGGTGCCCAAAGACTTCCGTCCTGTCGCGAAAATGGAACCCAGACCTTTTCGCCTACGACCCGACTGTGCTACAAGGCCCACATCTCACGAAATCTTCTAGAAAGCTAAATTCATATATTTTTTCAAATTAAAGAGCACATTATACTATTTTTTGCCTAGCCAAAGTTATTGTTATCAGATTTATCATCAACCCCACTATCATCACCGCCACTGTCATCAATGCCAGAATCATCAATGTCACTCTTGTCATTATCATACTATTTCTAAACTCAGGTTTGAGCAAAATGAACAGCAGGAAACAAGCAACTAGTGTACGGGACTTAATTTGACTGTTACTTTCATTGGAGCCTTCAGAGCTGTCGGTATGCGGTACCTGGAGCTTTATTACCTCTCGTGTGATTGAGGATATCTCTATACGATATCTCTATACGATATCTCCACTATTACGCTTTGCGTAATAGTGGCTTTAGGCATTGTATGTACTAGCTCTACCTATAAGTCAACCATTCTTTGTAAAAATTTATTGTATGTATGTACCTTACCTAAATAAACATTTTATTTTATTTTTATAATGCACCCAAAATTCGCCAGAGCAAGCTACTGATCACATGGCTAAATATGGCTAAATATTCTGTGAAATGGGGATTTTTAGCAGCACATGGCTAGTTCTTGACACTATGTAACCCTTCATATAGTTTAGGGTAGCTGCATATATATGTACATATACCTGAATATGTTAATAAAAATTACTTTGACTTTAAATGGGTGAAGATCTTGAGTCTTGGACTCAGGACTCCAACTTTAGTGATTACTGACTGGATTTCTTTACTGGGATTTCTTTACTGGTTAGATTTCTTTAATGTGATTTCTTTACTGGTTAGAGTTATTTAATGTGATTTCTTTTATGTAACACATTCACCCAATCTTGAAAGATCAGCCTAGCTACCTGCGAACTTTACGTTCGAGATGGGGCTAAGTTTAGTCCTTCAGAACTTTTCCGGTCGTCAATTTCGGGAGAAAAATGTAACATGATTCTCTAACATGATTCCTCTGAAAGTGGGAATGTTATGAGCCTAAATTTCACTTTAAAAGTTTCAATTTAGATTTGTTATTACATTGTTGTTTTACTGTGACGGTCCATAGTGACGGTGTGACGGTGTGACGGTGTGACGGTGTGACGGTCCATAGTGACGGTGTGACGGTGTGACGGTGTGACGGTCCATAGTGACGGTGTGACGGTGAACGAATATTAGCCGGTTTAGTTTTGTTTTACTGTGACGGTCCATTTTACAAATACTTTATGAACATATATATATATAGCACTCAAAGATATCTTTGAGGCCGCCATACGATCCATATTCAGACTAATGACTTGTCTGAGACGACGTTAAGGACTATTCGCCCTTTCTCTCCTATCCTTAGAGTAGCCCATCCTTTTCATTTACCCCTTTCCCTTGCCTCTTTAGAGTAGCCCCTTCCATTCCCACCACCCTGGCGTTTTCTATCATAAGAGGTTTGGACCAGAAACGCTTATTTTTCCTCAGGAGACGCTTATTTTTTCTCAGGAGACGCTTATTTTTCCTCAGGAGACGCTTATTTTTTCTCAGGAGACGCTTATTTTTCCTCAGGAGACGCTTATTTTTTCTCAGGAGACGCTTATTTTTCCTCAGGAGACGCTTATTTTTTCTCGGGAGACGTTTATTTTTCCTCAGGAGACGCTTATTTTTCCTCAGATGTTTATTTTTCCTCAGGAGACGCTTATTTTTTCTCGGGAGACGCTTATTTTTCCTCAGGAGACGCTTATTTTTCCTCAGATGTTTATTTTTCCTCAGGAGACGCTTATTTTTTCTCGGGAGACGCTTATTTTTCCTCAGGAGACGCTTATTTTTCCTCAGATGTTTATTTTTCCTCAGGAGACGCTTATTTTTCCTCAGGGGACGCTTATTTTTCCTCACGAGACGCTTATTTTTCCTCAGGAGACGCTTATTTTTCCTCAGGAGACGCTTATTTTTCCTCAGGAGACGCTTATTTTTCCTCAGGAGACGCTTATTTTTCCTCAGGAGACGCTTATTTTTCCTCAGGAGACGCTTATTTTTCCTCAGGAGACGCTTATTTTTCCTCAGATGTTTATTTTTCCTCAGGAGACGCTTATTTTTCCTCAGGAGACGCTTATTTTTCCTCAGATGTTTATTTTTCCTCAGGAGACGCTTATTTTTCCTCAGGGGACGCTTATTTTTCCTCACGAGACGCTTATTTTTCCTCAGGAGACGCTTATTTTTCCTCAGGAGACGCTTATTTTTCCTCAGGAGACGCTTATTTTTCCTCACGAGACGCTTATTTTTCCTCAGGAGACGCTTATTTTTCCTCAGGAGACGCTTATTTTTCCTCACGAGACGCTTATTTTTCCTCAGGAGACGCTTATTTTTCCTCAGGAGACGCTTATTTTTCCTCAGGAGACGCTTATTTTTCCTCAGGAGACGCTTATTTTTCCTCAGATGTTTATTTTTCCTCAGGAGACGCTTATTTTTCCTCAGGGGACGCTTATTTTTCCTCACGAGACGCTTATTTTTCCTCAGGAGACGCTTATTTTTCCTCAGGAGACGCTTACTTTTCCTCAGGAGACGCTTATTTTTCCTTAGGAGACGCTTATTTTTCCTCAGGAGACGCTTATTTTTCCTCAGATGTTTATTTTTCCTCAGGAGACGCTTATTTTTCCTCAGGGGACGCTTATTTTTCCTCAGGAGACGCTTATTTTTCCTCACGAGACGCTTATTTTTCCTCAGATGTTTATTTTTCCTCAGGAGACGCTTATTTTTCCTCAGGAGACGCTTATTTTTCCTCAGGAGACGCTTATTTTTCCTCAGGAGACGCTTATTTTTCCTCAGATGTTTATTTTTCCTCAGGAGACGCTTATTTTTCCTCACGAGACGCTTATTTTTCCTCAGGCGACGCTTGTGGCCGCGACGCTGCTGGGTTTGGTCTGGCTTTATCCTGTATCATAGATTAGCGTAACTTGGTCGTAAGTTTGACTAAACTTACGCCTGGGGCGTCTGGGATCTTGAGGGTAATGTTCTTTAAGCGTTAGGCTCTTAAACCTAAGTTCTTAAACTTGAGCTTTTAAACGTTAACGTTTTAAACGTTATAAGCGCTTGAGGGCTGGGAGTTAGGGTCCTAAACGTTATAAGCGCTTGAGGGCTGGGTGTTAGGGTCCTAAACGTTATAAGCGCTTGAGGGCTGGGTGTTAGGGTCCTAAACGTTATAAGCGCTTGAGGGCTGGGTGTTAGGGTCCTAAACGTTATAAGCGCTTGAGGGCTGGGTGTTAGGGTCCTAAACGTTATAAGCGCTTGAGGGCTGAGGGTTAGGGTCCTAAACGTTATAAGCGCTTGAGGGCTGAGGGTTAGGGTCCTAAACGTTATAAGCGCTTGAGGGCTGGGTGTTAAGGTCCTAAACGTTATAAGCGCTTGAGGGCTGGGTGTTAGGGGTCCTAAACGTTATAAGCGCTTGAGGGCTGGGTGTTAGGGGTCCTAAACGTTATAAGCGCTTCAGGGCTGAATATTATAGTCCTAACAGTTTGGAACTTTTATATTTATTTATAAAAAACAATTATTTATATTTATTTATAGTTGTAAATGTTAAGTTTTCAACATTAGGGATCTATAACTGTTATCGTATCAAACGTCGATTCACTCGCGTTCAGTTAATTATGAGATGTCGCTGACTTGGTCTTTAAAACTTTCCAAGACTTCAGCAGGAGATTCATTCAAGTGGTTCTTATTCATTCATTGAATAATCTTATTTATTCAAGGAGATTCATTCAAGTCTATGATCTTAAACTTTCCGGTCTTTGAAGCTCTGTGTTCTTTGCCATTTTTGTTCAGGTTGCTGGGTTTAAATGGTCTGTTATGCGTTAAGTCTTGGCACTCTAGAGGGCACATCCGCGGCCTCTAGTGCCACACTCGCGCTCTAGTGCTACATTGGCGCTCAAGTGCCACATCAAAGCAAGCTAGTGCCACATCCTTACTTTTAAGGATATATTTACTGACACAAATACCACCACGGACTCAGTTGTTAGCGTGTGGAGGGAGGGAGGGATGAAGGTGGTTCAGGCAGCTCTTGTGTCTCACGAAGGTTACGAAAGGTCACAAGGTCCATGAACTTTAAGTAGTAAAGCTCTAAGAAGGTCAGTAATGAGCAGGCAGGAGCCGGCGCTCCTAAACTTATCCGGCTTTGTAATGTTATTCAGTTTCCTGAAATTGATATGAACTTGGTGGAAAGAGATGGTGTAGAAGATAGTGAACACAAGACTCTGAACACGTCTGGTGGACAACTTGTCTCCACAATTATTATAAATCCGAAAAAATGGTAGACTGCGGAATTGTGTTCACTTTATCTTCCGGTTAAATGATATTCATCTGGCAGTACTATTCATGAAAGGTCTATTGCCAGAACTTTTTCTGAGAACTTAATTATACAGTATACATTCATATATATATATATATATATATATATATATATATATATATATATATATATATATATATATATATATATATATATATATATATATGTCGTACCTAGTAGCCAGAATGCACTTCTCAGCCTACAATGCAAGGCCCTTTTTGCCTAATAAGTCAAGTTTTCCTGAATTAATATATTTTCTCAAATTTGTTTCTTATGAAATGATAAAGCTACCCATTTCATTATGTATGAGGAATTTTTTTTTTTATTGGAGTTAAAATTAACGTAGATATATGACCGAACCTAACCAACCCTACCTAACCTAACCTAACCTATCTTTAAAGGTTAGGTTAGGTTAGGTAGCCGAAAAAGTTAGGTTAGGTTAGGTTAG